GCTCCCTGCTGCATCCCTTTTCTCACTGTATGAAAACTTCTGACTTTAAAGATGTCTTTAAAACTTAAAACCCATCAGAATAAATTAAACTAGAACTGAAACTAAGGTAGAAAACCCTAAAACCCCCAGGAGGGTTCTGGTTTAACTGGAAGTTTAACTGGTTTTGGTTTAACTGGAAGCTCTGATTTTTAGCTCAGTGAAAAAGTTCCTTTCTTTTATTCTTGGCAGGAAATTATTGACATTTTAACGTCAGACAGTGAAGAGAAGTTTGTCCTCCTACACTCTGTTTGAGTGACAGCAGCTTCACCTGTAGGCGGGACACGGCACGGTGGTGGGAGGGTCATGATGTGGGTCAGTCGTCCCTCCTGAAGCGCTTAGATGATTGAATCATGACTGAGGAAGCAGACGGAGTCAGAAGTGGGCGTGGCCTCAGAAATCCACAGATGCTTCCTGTCTTAGACGTGAAACTACAGACACGTGTGAAAAGGCACGCTCATCCTGCTACATGTACGGCAGACGTGCTCAGGCTGCAGGTGGTGATGAAGAGGAGGCAGAGGAAGAGCGAATAAAGGCAGCAGGTAATTCCTGTCAGTCAGGACGCAGCGCCTCTTCTTCTGCTGTCGGCTTTGAAGCGGCGAGGAGATTTATCCGTTAGCGTGAAGGTCACCTGAGGTCACCTGAGGTCAGCAGCAGGTTTTCATTTTCTGAGGTTGGATCAGAGATCCGGAGATTTAACGCCTCAGGAAAGAACAGGAAACGGAGAAAATTCACTGCAAACTATCGAAATCTAAATAAATCTAAAACTGAGGAGGAAAGTTTCCATTTTCCAAAGGAACAAAATCATTTAAAATTAGAAATAAACTATTGCTTTGTTTTCTGTTAAGTTATTATTATCTAATTATTCTATTTTAAGAGTAAAAATACTTAAACTGCTTAAAGGTAAATAATGAATTGAAGAAATGTTTATTTTCCTCAGATGGAGGTTTTATAGAAATATTAGAATAAGAATGTCGGTTAACTGATGGACGTTGAATCTAGAACAGTTTTCTTAAACTTTGATGGAATCAAAGTAAAAAGGTTGATATTTTCTGCAGGATGTAAATAAAAACGATAACAGATTTTAATCAGCTCTATAAAGATGATAATCTGTCTATTAAAGGAGAAATGTTTGAATTTTAATCCGTTTTAAACAGTTTGGATGTTGGTTGATTATTTAAATCTGATCCAAACTGAGGAGCGGAGAAGTTCTGGATGCTTGAAGCTCGGTTCTTAGAACCTTCAGTTTAATCTCCTTCTCTTCTTCTCTCCAGGTTCTGACCTCCTGATTGGTCCGCCAGCATCACCGTGACGATGGATCCATGATCTGATTGGACATTTAGCCCTGCAGACCCGGATCCTGGACCGACAGCTCCTCGCCCCCGATGCTAACCCTCTGATTGGACGCTTCTTCCTTCAGACCGTTGTCCTTGGATCTGATTGGTCAGCCGTCTCTGCAGACCCGGTCCTGTGGGCGGGGCTGAGTGCCATGGGGCCCCCAGAGGGATCTCTGATGACCAATGTTACGTGTGAGGCGCCGTACGAGGAGGGCCGCCTGCCGCTGCTGCTCCTCTACATCGTGGTTCTGGTGGTCGGCCTTCCCGCCAACGTGCTGACCATCTTCCTCACCTGGCAGCAGGTGTGCAGGAAAAACGTGCTGGCCGTTTACCTGTGGAGTCTGTCTGTGTGCGACCTGACCTACCTGTTCACTCTGCCGCTTTGGGCCGACTACGTCAACAGCGGCCATTCCTGGAGGTGGAGTTCCACCGCCTGCAAGATGACGGGCTACGTCTTCTTCAACAACATGTACATCAGCATCTTCCTGCTCTGCTGCATCTCCTGCGACCGTTACTGGGCGGTGGTCTACAGCCTGGAGTCCCGCGGGCTGCGGCGTCAGCACCACGCCGTGATCGTCACGGTGGCTGTTGTTCTGGTGGTGGCCCTGGGTCACACCGCCGTCTTCACCATGAGGGAGGGCGACGCCGAAGGCCAGGGACGCTGCTTTGAGCCTGGCGGCGGCGGCGGCGGCGGCGGCGGCAGGATCATGGGTTTCAACTACGCCCGCTTCATCGTGGGCTTCCTGCTTCCGCTGCTGCTGCTAGCGGTGACGAACCGCTGCGTCCTGGCCAACGTGCAGCGCAGCACGGGCCTGCAGGGCGGCCAGAAACGCCGCGTTCGCCGGCTGGCGGTGGCGGTGGTGATGCTGTTCCTCATCTGCTTCGGCCCCTACCATCTTATCCTGCTGATCCGCGCCGTCTTCGCCCAGTTCCCCCAGCTGGTAAACACCCCCTGCCTGTTTGAGAGGAACATGTACACCCCCTACACCATCTCTCTCGGTCTGTCCACCATCAACAGCGCCGTCAACCCCATTCTCTACGTCCTGTCCAGCAACAACATCCGCAAAGAGTGCCGCCGCGGCCTGACTCAGGTCCGAGTGCTGGGCTGCCACGCACCGCAGTCCAACAGCAGCCAGAACAAGTCCTTAGAGCTGAACGCTGGAACCGAGACTGAGAGACACGTCGCCGGGACGACCGAGACATGAGAGACATGTGGACTCTACCTGCCCCTCCCCCACCGCTGCTCATCATTCAGGGTTAGAAACTGCAAAAGACAGAATCGTAGGAAACAGACGATTCTGAGACTTTCAGCGAAGCTTCTGCTTCTGTAACGTCTCGGTTTGTCGCTCTGTAGAACGTCTTCGGTCTGCAGACTGTCAGAGACTCTCAGACTGACCTCTGACCTCTCCAGAGGTTCTTCTCACCAGCAGCTGCTTCTTTTTATCCTTCATGTAACCAAAGTTCACCTGCAGCAGCGTAATATTCCTGAAAGAAAGCTTCTTATATTTGATGATGTCAGCATCTTTCTTTCCACATTTCATAATAAAAGTCTTTGACTGAAAGTTTTGCTTTCGTTGTTTGGATTTTATGTTTTATTTGAATGATTCTGCTGCATAGCTGCTTCTATGTGTTCATTTTCTACGTCATATCTCAGGTTTCTGGTCTCAGACATCCTGCAGATAAACCAGTTCATGGCTGACAGGACAGGAAGTGGGCGTTTCTGGGCTGTTTGCTGAATCCAGCAGCTGCATCCTCTGAAGGCCAGATTCATTCGATGATGTCATAGCGCGGCGCCGAGGTCTGTTCAGATTGGAAGACTCCTCGTCATGCGGCCGACTAACGAGTCCTTCTGCCCATTTGAAGGACGGGTCCGATGTATCCTCTCTATCCTTGGTTTTCCCAGGATTCATTGCGAGACCAAGCAAGCCGGCTGCTCCGTGATCAGAGGAAACAGGGAAATGGCGCCAAACAGTGGTGAATATTGGAAGTTCAGTTTAATATAATCCAGTCTGTGAATAGTTCCGTCTGAAATGAATGAAAATAGTTGTTTTAATGGTTATAGAGTCAGATATGTGGCGGTAATGTTTGATTTATCTAAAAGTGTTTATCTGTTACTGTGTAAATGTGTTTGGCTGTAATTTAAGGACAGATTCTGATATATCTGCAGATGGGGACTATAAATCTGATATCTGAGACGACGGTACTGCTGCTGAAGCTCCTTAGAAATGTTATTAACACCCAGAACAGCAGTGAGAAGTTTAGCAACCTTTTTTTTTTTTTTTAGCCTGCTTTGATTGTC